CTATTTAAATTGCACCAGAAAATCCTCTTAACTAGTGGATAGTTGTTACCGTACACTTCAAAAGGCTTTGATTCGCCGATCGTACAATTGCAGTGACAAAGTTACCAAAAAAATGAAATAATAAACATGGGAAGGCAAATTTTCTTCCAAAAATTAGCTCAACCTCTACCCTCATCTCATTAGAAGCTCCGAGAAAAGTATATAGATAATTAACATTGCATTTTAGGCAATCGGCACTCAATGCGCTCTGAAACATTAGTTTCTAAATTTATGGGAAAAATTGTAGTCACTTTATTGACCCTGCTCACTCTATTGGTCTTCGTCAAAAACTGAGCTATGTGTTCCCTTTGCACACCTCAAAACCAAAATTACGGCCCCTAGAAGACTTCTCTTCACCATTCCTTAAAAGTTTTAATTCGATAATAATTTCCAAACAAAGAGTACGAACTCATCAATCAATTGTAGCAGCAGTCGAGTGTTATTTAGAGCAAGTGGAATACACGCCATCGCTCTATTTCAAACTCGACGACTGGAGGCGCCTTGCGCCCTCCGAAAATGGACACGCTTTCTCACTTGCAGTGGCGCCGTCGGGGTACCCCTCCTCGCGACACATGGCCGCGAGGGGAAGGAAGGGCTCGTATTTATTGACCATTAAGGTCATTGAGACCTCTACTGAGCTAGGAAGTCGGTCAGCTCGCACCAAATGTGAGTGAATTCAAAGGGGGGCAAATCATACAATAATTCGCCTCAAACTCCTATATAGCCTGTTTTAAGCAAACCTTCATTATAATCATAGGTACGGGCTTTTTGAGCATGCACGAATTCTTTTAAATAGGTTATGAATTCAAGGAGGTGAACCTATTAAATCTGCTGTTTAAGCCATTTGCTACTCATTTAAATTATAATATTGTTTCAGTGACTACCTTCTACATTTGCTCATAATCCCTATTAGATAACAATAAATGAGAAGATTTTGAAGTTACCGAACTGTATTTAACTTCACAAAACAGGCACAGCACCATCACTTGGTGCTTCTAGAGACAGAAGATGAGGCAACCGATGATGATGGACTGTGAGCACCCTCCAGCTCCCGCATTCGCTGCTTGCAGCGTCTAACCAGATTTCGCAATCGTCTAGCTCTCCTTTTGGTTCTCTAAAATGACGGCACACTGCAGCATGTAAAAGCACTTAAATTAGAACCCTAAGAAGGACAATGAAATTAAAACATCGACACAAATTTTAACCTTTTTCTTTAGCGTTACTTATTTCCGTTCCTATAAAGCTACTTCCAAAAAAGGCTTTCCTGTCGCACCGCAGTCAGTGTTATACCTCCTACTTTGAACATTACATTTGGAAGTGAGGAGCAGAACATAGCAAGACATAAAAGAACTGAATTATCGTCTTCGTACCGATTGCAGAGGAGTATGAAGGCTAGCTCTTCAAACTTCATTAAAATTACAACCAAAGATCGGACTGAGATGGATTGAAACACCTTAATTGCGTCACCTAAATTATGCAGTCCATCTGCACCACCTGTCGTAATGACGACTGATAGTCAGGGCGGCAGATGGAATGGACAGTTCGATGAAGATAATTAAAGACTTATTTGATAGAGAGATAGCATTTGACTAGCCGTGTGCGTTAATAAGAAAAAGACATGCACCAGGTCGTGGTCTCCAAAGTGTACAGCATTCCTGTACCATCATGATGGAATAAATCTGACACAGGTATGGGGATACTGCATCACATTTCAGACCTTATTAATCCCATGTGGACCTATTTCCTCTTAAAAATTTGATCTACTTTTGTTGCCTCGGTCCCCAGCATAGATCTTGAAATTTACAGGCAGTTTGCTTAGCTTTGAATTCACTATTTAATATATGCGGAATTTCGAAGGTTCCTTCTTGCCATGTGTGACTCACAGTTTGACCGTTTTACTTGCCTTTTCTACAGTAAAAAACGATGCCAAAGAATCCACTGAACTACTGTCCGAATCGCCACTGTTATCCGATCCCATTACTGTCGCACACTCAGCAGATGGCTGTGACTTTTCCGACGACACATTTGGTGTCTTGGCTTCAAAGTCTTCTAGCCAAAGTGCAGCCTCATCCCAAAGCAAATAGCAGTCGTTGATTGAAGCAATAAAGAGACTGACTCTTGACACGTTGTTACTGCACTGCGTTTGGTAAAGAATTGTCACTTCCGTTGGTGAGAGCCGAGTTCCTCCCTCAATGCCGAGCTGTGCTAGCGACTCACTAACCTGCTCGATTACCTCCGGTTGAAGCGCTGATTTTTTCTTCAAAAGTTTGATCGATGGAGCACATATATGGTTCCTTCGCCTATAAGAGTTAAGAACGTATAGTGGCCACTCATATTTCAGGAGATATATCAAATCCCAAATAATAGAACAGAAGCGAATAAAATTTACTTTAGCATTTACAATGTAGCTTCGAAGGCCTATTACCGTAAATGGTAGTGCATTTACAGTCATATAGGAACTAAAGGTTTGAATTTAATCAGTATTTTAATTTCATACTTAACGGTTTCGATTGAAATGGGACAATCATCGTCAATTGTACACAGACTTACCTAATGATGTCAATAAGCAGGTCTGCCGTGTAAAACGATGGTACATCTTCGTCAAAGTGGAGGGGATGGTGAGGTATCGATGCAAGAGTTGCATTCCGAAAATGCAATCGAACCCAGCTAAATTGTGATGACAAACGTGCTACTTATCAAGTAAAGTAAGGCAAAATTTTTGAGCATAATACGTACCGGATGAACTGCCTTGCAAGAGGCGACGGACCCATTTTCAGCGCTCGCACTTCTTCTTCTTTGCTACAGTAGCATATGATTTCATTAAAGCTGCGTTTTATATTTTCGAAAAAGCTATGCGTAATCTGAATATGACGGTTTTCAACTTTGGAGATTGTCAGAATTTGTGTGATGTTTAGCATAATTCTGCAGTACTTACACAAAAATTTGGATAATTTACGTTAACCTTAAAATTTTTTTAGCAGCAACCCCAAAAAAATACGACCAATTTACGATGTAAAATAAAGAACAAATTTACCACAGTCCCAATATGCCTTCTGCAAATTTCTTGACTTCGATTGAGCCTTCAGAGCTGGGATCCAAAAGCATTGCTACTAAGTGCATTTCGACATCATTAAACGGCGCCTTTGCATCTATGAGAACTAATTGCAGATAATTTGTAACTGAATGCATACTGGCCTTAAAACTGTCATATGTTATCGATTCCACCTCATCGGATGTAACGCTGCAAATAATATTCCAAATTTTCTCTAAATTCCTATCAAACCATGCACTGGCAAGCTGTAGGAATTCAGTATAGCGATCAACATCTGCTTGGTATAAATTAGCACGCTTGGTAAGTTCGATCTAGAAGAATATAATAAGAACAAACTCACTAATTTTCGGGCTGTTTTAGACTTAGATCTCAAACTAGACTTTTTAGCAGAACTTTTTCTTGGCAGTGAAGTTTGAGAGCGCCGTCTTCCTGTCCTGCGAGATCTTGATTTCTTGTGTTTAAACCCCCTTCAGAATTTTGATTAAATAAATTTAACCATGCGAGGTTACAGCAGCATCAAAAATAACATACTATAATAGGTAATTTACTTAAAATTGCAGAAACTTTTAACAAGTAAGTGATTTGTACAATTTTCAAGCCAATAGTTACCTTTCTTCTGCATGCTTAAAGCATACAACGTCTCTGCAAATACACTTTTAGTTCTTTTACGGTATATATGATTGAATGAACATCTCTTATCATATGCACGACAATAAAAATTATGAAAATTAACCTTGAATGTGAAGATCCAGGCATTTCAAAAAAACACGAGCGTCATAAGCATGTAAAACAATGGAAGGGCAAATGCAAGCGCAACCAAGGTGAAACATTTACTTCGACGACACACTTATTCTTCCTATATTACAACCGAATGCGAAATATGCCAAAATGATTTTGTTATTTAATAAAAAAAGGACTACACTTTTTGTACTTTCAACTGTAGCGTCTCGAGACTCCCGGTCTGTATAAGAAGTCAATAAGTGAGGCTGGATACGTGTATTCCGGAGGGTACAGATCGAATGGGCCTGAGTATGGCTTGAACGTCAGCCTTTACACACAAGGGCCTGACAAATCGTAAAGTGACCACCGAACGTCAGGTAGTCACACAAACAAAGTATTACAC